TCAAAAAGAGAAAAATGGATATTCTTGGATATAGACGTCTCTCTGAATATTCTGCCTAATACTTTTGGGCGTAATTACCGCTTGCTCTCGAAAGGATGAATTAAATGGGGAGATTTGCATTCGCTCTCGATGGGGAGACCACGAACGGAGACACAATCGTAAAATCCAATGAAAGCTTGAGGAAGATGTTGATGGTGTTGATGATGCTGATGATGACGACGGCGAGGGGGCCGACAGAAGGAATCCGTGGCATGGCACAGAAGCTCGAACAAACTTTTCCGCATGCGCCAGGCTGCGCAGTGGCGTCCGCTATATGGGGAGCGCCAACTGCACCTCGCTGCGATGTCGGGAACAAAACCCATGACATGACAGGAAAGCCCTACGTTGCCCACGAACCGTCAGGCGCTCGCTTTCTGCTCCATCTCAGGTGCTTTTGGGGAAGTAGTCGTAAGCCACCTGGGTTCCAGAAGCCCAGGTAGACTCACCTGCAGGGATGCAATACGGATCTTCCTCAGTCTCGGCTTTGGTCCGGGATCTCGGAAATCTCCGAGCCACGAACCAAAGTCAAGCGCTGAAGATGCGGGGTTGGGCTACAGTTAGGCGCTAGAAGCCTCACGGTGCGGCACTGTCCTTACGGTTTTGACATTGCACTTATCAACAGGGGCCTCTCACCACTGGATCGGCTGAGGGCACGATTGAGAACTTAATCAGAGCTTGGCACCAACCCTAAAGCACACAAAGCACGTGTTTCGGATTCAGGGTTCAGTGTTTTAGGGACCCTGAACCCTAAACCCTAAACCCTAAATAGGGGTAGGGTTCTGTTCCGCAGTTCCCACCCCTCTTGTTGATGATCTTGAGGTTGCCACTCGCTTCCAGCAGAAGAGTGTTCACTCCTGCTTCGTCCTGAGGGGCGCAAACCGGAGGCACCCTCAGATGAAACGCGAAGCCTTGAACCCCAAACCCTAAACCCTAAACCCTAAACCCTGAACCCTAAACCCTAAACCCTAAACCCTAAACCCTAACCCCTACACCCTAAGCTAAACCCTAAGCCGTAAGACCCTAAACCCCCAACCTCAAAACTAGGCTGCAAGCCTAGGACATCAACCACAGCGGACCCTGCCCCAAAGGAAAGATCTGTCTCCCGTAGTGTTTGCTCGAGGGGCCGGAATTACGAATAGTACTCCCTTATGGCCCCCTGTATACTTATACGAGAATAACTCCCCAGAACCCTGCCCCCCTAAACCCTAGATCCTAAACCCTAAACCCGAAACCTCTAATTATTGTTCGGGTTCGGGGTGCAGACTTCGTGGTGCCTATATGCCTGGAACCAGACCGAGGAGAAACTCGGAGAAGCCTAGAAATAAAAAAGAAGGAAACCCTAAACCCTAAACCCTAAACCCTAAGCCCTTTTTGGGTTTGAAGAGGCTTTGTGAGGGGACCTAAGCCCGAAACAAAGGGAACAAGGGTCGACTCTGGGTCCTAGTGCGTTAGGGTTTAGGGTTTAGGGTTTAGGGTTTAGGGTTTAGGGCTTAGGGCTTAGGGCTTAGGGTTTAGGGGTGTAGGGTTTAGGGTTTAGGGTCGTTTCCGGTGTAGGGTTTAGGGTTTAGGGTCGTTTCCGGGATGAATTGCAGGCTGGTCTGGGGTGCTCTGACTTAGCCTTTGCCCCCGGCCTCCAACGAAGCGTCAGCTGTGTTGGTGTCGAAGGCAACATCCCCATTGCAATAGAGGACAAGATTCCCATCCTCCTCAGGGCTGTTGCTTTCCGGGATGAGGGTTAGGGTTTAGCTTACGGCCTTCGGAGAAACAACTAGAACAATCACAACACCCTGAAACCAAGATTTCGCCTGTGAGTTAGTGGAGAGGTGCGCAAGAAACGGAACAAAACGGCTTCGCAGGGTTTGGGTTCAAGGGCTTAGGGCTTAGGACTTCGTTTCTTCTGTTTTTCATTTCTTATTATCCCCCCCCCCACCTGCATCTTGAACTCAATCTCCTTCGGCGCCGCATCACAGGATGTCCCGGTAGACCAAAGATCCTGCCCACGCGACCAATCTTTCAAGGTGACGTTGCCGCCCTCCTTGGCATCTGAGGAAGCTTACTAGGCTGCCCAGTAACCTAGGCTTAAAAAGGGTACCCTTTTTGCTTAAAGGGGTTTATAAGGGAACCTAAACCCCCCAAAAGGGAATAAGGGTACTACTGGGCATCCTAGCTCAAGCAAAGAACAAATCTCGAACCCGTCGTTCGCAAGAACGATGCTGCCTCACTGAATGGTAGTTCCAGCATTGAGGTGTTTTCTTGGGCCATGCGATCCCGATCCACATGCGGCAACATTTCGAGCTTGCGGGTTTAGTTCCTACGTTCCTTTGAGGATTGACTTGTCGAGTATTGGTTTTTGAAAATCTCACTGACACCAAGCTGCAGACAGGGACAGGGTGAAGTCGTAGAAGGTCTTTTGCACCAGACGCATGCCAGGAAAAAGCACATGTGGGCTGGTCAGATTGCTCCTTCTGCTAGCAGTGCAGGAAAGGGTTTAAGTTTAGGGTTTGGAGTTTCAGTGTTCGGGCTTAGGGGTCGAGATCGCGACTTCGGAACTGCTTGTGTGAATTTAAAGCCGTTGTCATGTAGACTCACCTAGGAATCTGTGGCATACCAGGAGCTTGGTGTTCAGCAGAACGAGAAGAAACCTAGACTCGCTCCAGGGTCCTGAGATGCCACCGTTTTAGGGTTAACTACGGTTTAGGTTATGCAGTTATTTCCCAACCCCAGAATACAAAACAAAATCAAAATGTATTTTGGAAAGAAGAGACACAGTCTGCACATGCTTATCTTCACGCGTTCACACATACATGCAGACATATGTTTCTGGGCATGCAAGTATGCCTGCATGCATGCGTATGTACGCTTTACGCCTGTGTGTTGATTCGCATTTGTTCTCTGACTTCTGCACATCGAGAAAGCGATCCTGCTAGGCTGTGTAAACCCTAAACCCTATAGACTATAGACCCTAAACCCTAAACCCTAAACCTAAACCCTAAACCCTAAACCCTATATAGACCCTAAACCCTGCGGCATGTCCTTCCGAAGCCAACAGGAATCGTGCCCGAGCTGGACCAGACTCCAGTCAGATCTGGCACGTTGTACAGAGAGAAGTGGCCTGTGACTTCCAATGCTGCCACCCGGCAGTGCTGGCGAGATGCATCCTGGGTTTGGGGTTTAGGGTTTAGGGTTTAGGGCGTAGGAAAACAAGAGATGAATGATAGAAGACTAGATAGGTACTCGCGAGTACGGCACCCATAGCAATCGAAGTGTCATCCGTGTCCGTCGCCCATAGAGCCTGCGTGGTGCCACAGTACAGCACTAAATTTCCATCTTCCTGGAGCGTTAGGAAAGGTGTGTCATCTGTGCACTGGCCGCCGGTGTCCGTTTCCCACGTCTTCCGGTCGTAGATGTTATAGATGGCAACATTTCCTAGACCCGGGAGTAACCTAGGAATAAAAAGGGTGCCCTTTTTGGTGTTAAGGGGATTATCAGGGAACCCCAACCCAAAAATCGGAAAGAAGGGCCCTACTCCCGGTCCTAGTTTCCTGTTTCTTCCACCAGCAGCTTGTACTGGCCATTGGGACTCTGTAGCGCTTGGTTCTTCTCCAGCTTGTCTCCCGTGGTAAGATTGCCTGCGAAACTCCAACTTCTCATGCTGTCAAAACAACCCTAAACTCTAAACCCTAAACCCTAAACGCTAAACCCCTCGTCATAGCCGGGGGGGTACCTCCGAACAGCTTGACAACCTTGTAACCACCCTAAACCCGAAATCCTACACCCCAAGACTCTAGCAGTATTTGGAGTCAGAACAACAGCTTTTGGCTTCTGCCTGCGAGTTCTATACGTGCGTGTTATGGGTTCTTATAGGAGTTTGTAGGGTTCTGTGGCGTTGGTTAGAAGTAGTTGGTTAGGGTTTCGGAGCTCTGCGGGGGCTCCATGAGTATAGGGTCTGAGTGTAGCAATGATGGTTTAAGATTTCGGGTTCAGCAACGGTATTCCTTAGTGCTCCGTGCTATGACTAGAGCGCAAGGGCCCCAAAACACCAGCCGATTTGTTTAGGGTTTAAGGTTTAGGGTTTAGGGTTTAGGGTTGGCTAGAGCAGGGGTTGTAACAACAGGGCAGCACATGCACTGCGACCAAGGGTGGAGTTTGGGGTCGCGGGTTCTTAAGTTTAAGGGAACCCTTTTTGCGTGTAGCAAAACCCCTAAGCCCTAAGCCCTAAGCCCTAAGCCCTAAACCCTAAACCCTAAACTTGGCCAGCACCTCTAAACATGACCCAGTTACTAGAGACTGCAGGTGCCACCGCTTGCCAGAGATCCAGCTCCACAAACTGGAAGGTTGCTTGCAGATAGCCTAGAATCCCCAGGAACCCGATTTAGGGTTTAGGGTTTAGGGTTTAGGGTTTAGGTTAGGGTCCTGCTCCTATGGTTCAATCTTAAACAGGAGATCCGAAACGAACAAGGGGACTGCTGTTGCACAGAGGAGCCGAAGTAGCCATCCTTACTGGACCCCAGCGTGGCGCCCACCATCTTATACGAGGCATCATCCGTAACAGTGGCCGTCATCCCAACCGGATTGGCGACGATGGTGGGGGAGTAGCCACCTACGGGTTTACGCAAATAAGGGGCCCCAAATATAGACCCTCAAATGGTAGATTCCCTTCTAATACCCAACAAGGTACCCGTGTTTTTGGAAACCCCCCCCCACCTAGTATCCCCGTGGAGGTCCCGTCAGAAAAGCTCAGTGACATCTTCACCACCTCCCCCGATGGATAGAAGGAGCTGGGGTCCCGGAAGTACATCGTTACGGCGGTGATGTATTTCTCCTGGGCTTTTGCTAGGGAAGTGAACTCAAGTTACCCTCTTAAGGAAACCCCAACTTGTTTACGTTAGATCAAGCTCCTTAACAAGAACCCAGTCTCGGCCAGGTCGTAGGAATTCTCCGTCCCGCCCGTGGAGGAGCCACCTCGCTGCTCTCCTCCGTCTGAGAACTGCAGGCGAAAGGAATCCTCACTTCGAGCGGGTGTCAAAAAAACTCGAGGAGTCGCCTTATGATACGGATCCTAGTATTCAAGCTCGGGGGTTCCCCATTCTCTGAACCTCCAGTTTCGGTGCGCCTGCACATGCTCAGACGGGACGGCAGGGTCATGAGCGGGCAGGGTTTAGGGTTTAGGGTGCAGAAACGAAAGGGATTTCCCGCAAGTCACCACGACCCAGCCAGGCATGCTTTCGATTCGGTTGTTGATTGTGTAAGCCACCCACGCGACCATTTACGTAGATCCACTCTCAAACGAGGGCAGCTAAATTTAGAGAGAAGTAAACCTACCTCGAGGAATGAAAAAGGTACTGTTGAAAGGAGACTCAATCACGTTGTAGGCCCAAACACTTGTCGTGGTGATATCACCGATCTCTCCGTCTTCGTTGGCATACCTTCGATCTTGAAAAATTGCAGCTCTAGATTCAATCAATGCAGCTCTAGATTCAATCTAACTCTGGTTTAGAATCTTTGGACAACGGATGACGCACATCTGAGCCCAGATACCACATTCCGTCTTTGTTGTACTTCAGTTCGGTACCATCCTCAGTGTCTTGGGTCACTGCCGCGTATGGCCCCACGGTAACCTGCTCCACAGCAGGCAGGACCTGAACTTTGGCAGACTCCATCCCCGGAATGTACCGCTGCAGGTACATATTGGGCTGCAGCGCCTTCGCCATGTAGCCGCATGCCTCATTCAAGACTCGGGACGCTGTCATCTCTGCAATCGTGTCACAGATGTCGTCGTCGTTGCTCCAATGAAGTTCATACCTGCATTGCCCCAGTCGCCCCTTGATTCAGGATCCCCTTTTCCTACGACTCAAACTTGAGCGGAACCCCAAAACAAGCAAAAGCAAACAAAAAGCTAAACAAAGCTACGACTGGGCAAGCCAGGTACTTAATGTTGGTCAGCTCATCCGTCACAGTCATGTCACAGCCACTGCAGCACCTCCGGCGTCGGGTTCCAGTCTGTTCTGTGGACGACTCGATTTTGGTCTTCCTCCAGTCTTTCCAGAGGTCGTAGGTGAAGTTGAAGAAGGTCCTGGGTAGCGAGTATGTGTAAAGGTTTAGGGTTTAGGGCTTAGGGTTTAGGGTTGCGGGTTTAGGGTTTAGGGTTTAGGGTTCAGGGTTCAGGCTTTAGGGGCTTCAGGGCTTGAGGGTTTGAGTTCGAAGCGGGCTTTGACATCTCAATGGGCCCTAAAGCGACTCTAGGAAGCGGCACTTCTACCAAGGCTTAAAACCCGAAACCCTAAACCCAACTCCTAAACCCTTTAAGAGAACCACAAAGGGAAACTCAAGAGCGCCCCCACAGTGCCGCTAAAGGTCTGGTAGTAGGACACAGCAGCTTGCAGTGCATAGTCCCAGCTCGGGTCTTGAGTGCCATAGAGACTTTGGCCATTCGTAATCCTCTCCTTCAGGGCTCAAAGGAAGAGGCACCTAGGTTACATCATCTATTGAGCCCTACCCTAAAGTGGAGGTATTGCCTTAAAAGGCTTGTGTATAGGTTTAGGGGTTAGGGTTTAGAGTTTAGGGTTTAGAGTTCGGGCTTTTTGGTGGTTACTTTTTGTTGGCCTCCTCTCCTTGAGGATCGAGCAGTGGATGGTAGCAGCAACAATGGTAAGGGGGAGCAGCTGGTACTTGTTCGTTGAGATCGTGAGGTGGGCAATCCTAGGTTGGTCTGTTTAGAGGCCTTGGAAAACGGTTCTTGAAGCCAGGTTTAGGGTTTAGGGCTTAGGGACCCTTCTTAGGTCCAACAAGGAGAATAGAAAAGATGCCTACCTAGAGAAGCCCCCGCCCCCAGACTTTTTTCTGCCAGCAACCCCTTGTCAAACCCCTTTATCAACACGAACCACATATTCGACCCTCAACTCAAATTTATGAAAAAAACAAAAAAAAACAAGTTGCCTGTACTGCCCAGAGTCAGATCTTCGACCTTGGCCAATGCTACGGTGAGGTCGTTGCCCTTCTCGGCAACCGTGTTGGCCCTTGTGTAGCGGGTCAGATCCCGTCTCAAGCCTCAGTCGGTGTTCTCAAGCGGCCTTAAGCCCGGAGTGTAGCACCTCTATAAAAAAAAAACCCCCAAAAAAAACCAAAACCCTCAAAAAAACCCAAGCGCTCAACCCTTAAGCCCCTAAAAACCCTTAAACCTCAAAAAAACCCCCGGTGAAATCCTCCTCCCGGCACTCCTCCGAAGCAACAATTCGCGGCCTCGCAGCCCAAGAAATCGCCCTCCCGCTCCGATAGCTCGAACTCCAGGATCGCCACGTCTACCAACTCCTGGCTTTTTTTTTTTTTGTTTCGAAGGTTTCGGGTTTTTTTTAATAGGGTTTACGGAGTTTTATAGAGTTTATAGGGTGTATGGAGGTTTTTAGGGTTTATAGGGTTTACAGGGCTTATAGAGTTTATAGGGTTTATAGGGCTTATGGGGTTTATATGGTTCATAGGGTTTAGGGTCTCTCTTTTATAGGGTTTAGGGTTGAGGGATAAGGGCTTAAGGGTTTAGGGTTTAGAGTTTTTATCGGGTGTTAATGGGATTTTCTGGTCGTCTGTAGAAGATGTTTCATGGGGTGCTGTGGTTTTTCATTTGGATTTACATGGTTTTAGTGTGGCTTCCTGTTCTCGTGTAAAGTTTCATAGGATTATCCATGAGGTTTTCTGGTCTTTACAGGACTCATGGAGTTTACAGGGGCCAGAGAATGGTTTTTATGTGATTCAAAGGTAATGGTTTCTTGATAAGTAGCTCAATTTGATGCAAGGGACATGCAATGGTTTTTTGGCAAGGAAAATGGTTTTACAAGGTTTCATCTGTTTGCGGCGCATATCAAGGGTAAGGAGCACATTTGCAAGTTGCAGGCTACCATAGGTTGTTGCCTGTGCCATAAGGAGTTGCAGGGGGGGGGTGGTTGGGATTCAAGGAACTTCGTTTAAGTTTGCACAACACGAGTCGATGGCAACATAAAGCAAGCCCCCAACAAGATCCCTAAACCCTAAACCCTACAACCCCGAAAACCCTAAGCCCCAACACGCTACACCCAGAACCCCCCCGCCCCGCCCAAAGCGCAAATCCTACGAACCCAGGCTCCTTGACCTCGCCGATGATGAGTGCCCAGATGTCGTACTCGTCGGAGGAGGAAGGCCAGATCAAACTGAGAAGGTTCGACAGTACTCCGCCAACCTTGGATGTTTTGAAACTATACAGGCTTTATGGTTTAGGGTCTAGCGGCTACTGAAAGGGCTCTACAAGAGATTTTAATAGGGGCCTTAACTAGACCCAAGAGTAACCTACCAGTAGGAATCAACAGGGTGCATTTTTTGCTTTAAAAGGGGCCTATACGGTAGCCCGAACCCTAACAAAAGGGAATACGGGCCTGCTCTGGGTCCCAGTTCATGAGTAAAATCGAGCTTTGGGGGCAATGCCATGTGATGAAAGAGAAACGAGTCGTGGTTTTGCACACTCATATGAAGACTACCTTACTTCAGCATGGTAGTACGTGATTTGAGTCAAATTTTCTGGGGTATAGGGTTTAGGGTTTAGGGTTTAGGGTTTAGGGTTTAGGGCTTAGTAAGTGATTTGAAGTAGAAAAATGAACTCAAAATCCTCGGGGCTTGGGCTTCTAGAAGCCGAGGGCTGAAGGCATGAAAAGGCTGATCTCCTCAAGCCAAGCAGTGAAAACCTCAGCACCCCTTGTAGGGTTTGGGGTTTAGGGTTTGGGGTTTGGGGTTTAGGGTTTAGGGTTTAGGGTTTGGGGTTTGGGGTTTAGGGTTTAGGGTTTGGGGTTTGGGGAACCTCTGCAACCTTTATCCATCATCCCAGACGCGACGGGGATCTCGTCCACTGCAGTTAGCACCACCGCCTCACCTATCTTCTCTAGTCTCGCCAACCAGCTTCCATCATCCTCAAGGCTTCAGTTGTAGCCGCTCTGCTGGAAAGAACACTTGGGGGTTTCTATTACAGGGGTACCCTTTTCCGGGGGTTCTTATAATAGGACTATACTCTTTAAGGGTACCCTTAATGAGAAAAATACCCAAGTTAACAAAAAGCAATGTTCAGGGCTGTCCTCTCCGATGATGATTTCATCATTGGCAATTTTGGCATACTCCGACTCCACCTATCAGCACGGGCGTCTGCGGGAGTGTCTGTGTCTGGGGTTTAGCCGGCGCGCAGAAAGAGAGAGAGGCCAGTACATTCCCCAGCCAGAAGACCCTCCGAATCGAGCATTGGGGGTCACCATGGTGGCTACGCAGAGGTGTCTAGAGTTCTAGTAGAAGCATGTCAACCCTGCAACCCCTGCCTGGCCAGATACATATGACAGCACCGCGGCCACGTCGGCTCCCACGTTTGAAGGCGCTTGATGACGCAGTGACTCCTTCAATGCACCAAGGCAGGACTTGAGGACGTGCTGGCGTGACTCTGAAACTGGGGAACCCAAAATACTTAGAGCCCTGAGCCCGAAGTTCAGACTTGAACCCTACGTGTTCGGGTTTAGGGTTTAGGGTTTAGGCTAGGGTTTAGGGTTTAGGGTTTAGGGTTTAGGGTTTAGGGTTTAGGGTTTAGGGTTTAGGGTTTAGGGTTTAGGGTTTAGGGTTTAGGGTTTAGGGTTTAGGGTTTAGGGTTTAGGGTTTAGGGTTTAGGGTTTAGGGTTTAGGGTTTAGGGTTTAGGGTTTAGGGTTTAGGGTTTAGGGTTTAGGGTTTAGGGTTTAGGGTTTAGGGTTTAGGGTTTAGGGTTTGGGGCTTGGGGCTTAGGGTTTAGGGTTTAGGGTTTAGGGTTTAGGGTTTAGGGTTTAGGGTTTAGGGTGTTACTATCCACTTGGTCCCTAAACAGACCAGCCTGCAGTATCTGCAGTGCGGTAGTATCGATGGTCGAGGAGCACGCGCAGGAAGAAGTCGCACCCACGTTCAGCTCTACCTCGATCTGCTGCAGGTTAACCCTAAGCCCTAAGCCCGAATCCCTCAAAACTGAACGCGAAACACTCAACCGTAGCTTCTGAGTCATCAAATGTCGACCAGGCGCCTTTCGACCCATTTGTAGGAGCAAAGGTTGCTCTCCCGTCGCTAGGCAAGCCTGGAAGCAGCAGGCATCTTGATGGGAAGCTCTTCTTCCAACAGAAAATCCGGCGGTGGCGTTGAAATTAGTGTTGCTGTGGTTAGTCTTGTCATGTTTTGGTGCTGCTGCTGGTGGTGGTGGTGGTGGTGGCGGTGGCGGTGCTGGCGGTGCTGGTGTGCCGCTGGTGCTGCTGCTGCTGCTGGTGCTTGGTGCTGGTGCTGCTGCTGCCGCGGTCGCCGCCGCCGCTGCTGCCGCTGCTGCTCCTGCTGCTCTGCTCCTCCTGCTCCTGCTCCTGCTCCTGCTCCTCCTGCTCCTGTTGTTGTTGTTGTGGTGGTGGTGGTGGTGTTGTGGCGGTGGTGCGGCGGTGGTGGTGCCGGCTGCTGCTGTCGCCGCTGTTGCTGCTATTGCTGTTGGCTGATATTCTTCTTTTGACGAGTACCGGCAGTGCGGCGAACACTACAGGAAAACGATGTGCCGGAGGTCTAGGTTGATGCGTAGCTAGCTGCACAGACCCTGCACCCCCTATGCCGTCAGCCACAAACCCTACACCAAAAAACAACACCTTGCGAATCTTACCCTAAACCCTAAACCCTAAACCCTAAACCCTAAACCCTAAACCCTAAACCCTAAACCCTAAACCCTAAACCCTAAACCCTAAACCCTAAACCTAAGACCCTAAACCATAAACCCTAAACCCTAAACCCGGTCCTCGGTCTGAGCCATCTGACTTGCAGCACTGAGCTGGATCAGGGCAAACACAGCCAAGAAACATGCCATGGCTACAAATTGCTTAAGAACACCAAAAAGCAAAAAACATTCTTCCTTATTAAGGATCATATCGGGAGTATTACTGTTATTTTTCTTTTGGGGTTCTTAAGCAAATGGTAGATGGCCCTCTGTACAAGCCCCTGAGGGAGCGCGCGGAACCCTCGACAGCTCGTCCTTCTGTTGACTTTCTCGGTCTCCAGGCATGAAATCGTGTGACTGATCGCCCTAAGTATGCGTGATCTGCCGATTTCCAGCATGTTTGAACCTCGACCCGCAACCCTAAACTGGAAGCAACGCACTTCGTCTCGCACATCCTGAAACCCCGCGAAGTCGAGCTGAACAAAGGGATCCACGGGGCGGCTGAACTGCGTTTGAGCCCAGCTGATGCAAGGGAAATTTGAGGATCTATGCTTCAGGATCTACCCTGCACCCTGTAAACACTAGAGCCCTAAAACCTGCTTGGGGTTGAGATCTTAGAGTTTAGGAGTCCGATCTTAACATTTAGGGTGCTCTCTTTGGGCCTTCTGGTTTCGGGCTCCAGTGGTCATGGGGCGAATAGGAATCCGAAAAGGAAAGCTTTACAGGTTTTCTTGTAGGAATCCAGTAGGACCAAGGAAGACTCACGGGTACATCAGGCAACGAGACAATGATTTCCTGCAACTGCGGCTCTCGCCGTGGCTCTGCTGGAGATTAGGGTTAGGGTTTAGGGTTTAGGGTTTCGGGTTTAGGGGGTAGTTGACTATCTGAATGTAGTCGAAGGCGGCAGGGGTCCTAAATCCTAACCTCTTCACCCTGAACTTCCCCCAACTACAACCCTAGAACTCTATCAATGTCTTGTCACAATGCAAGCTCCCGGAGGGATGATGAGGACTTGAGCAAGCTTCGAGGTCGATATGGTATGACAGGGTAGCACGCCATAGCATTTGACTTGAAAAAGAGCATGAACTACCAAGGAGCTGGGTTTGGGCCGCCGCTAAGCGGTTCGGCAACCCCAAGTGGACAAACAAAGCACAAGAAGAGAGGCTTCGGGCGCTGGGGGTTTAGGGTCTAGGAGTTTATGGCTTGAGAAACAGGATGCGTGCATCTGGCACGAAGGTAAACCCTAAACCCTAAACCCTAACTCCTTTTTGCTCCTCGATGGCTTCGAGCGCGCAACTTGCCGCCGACTTCTCCGCATCGCCTTTCCGCTTTGCAGGCGCTCCGGCCACTTTCCGCGCGACACCTGCGGGCAACTGAAGATTCTGAGGTGGGGTTTAGGGTTTAGGGTTTAGGGTTTAGGGTTTAGGGTTTAGGGTTTAGGGTTTAGGGTTTACGGTTTGAACCCTGAGCCCTAGACCCTTACGGACCTCCCCTGTTCCCTCGCCTGCAGCTTTTAGGGTTTCGGGGTTCAGGGTCCAGTGCCTAGTCTCTCCAACGTTTCCTCTTTCAGAGCTTTAAATCCCTAAGCCCTAAACCCTAAACCCTCAGCCCTAAACCCTACACCCTAAACCCTAAACCCTCAGCCCTAAATCCTACACCCTAAGCCCTAAAAACCCCAAACCCTGAGTGCGACATGATGCCCCGTCCTGTTCCGGTACCCCTTGGGAGAATCCAGGGACAAACCCCTAAAGCCTAAACCCTGAACCCTAAACCCTAAACCCTAAACCCTAAACCCTAAACCCTAAACCCTAAACCCTAAACCCCCCCCACATCGAGTCCAGAGACCTGAGACAGGATACCGGTTAAACAGAGCAAACAGGGTTTAGGGTTTAGGGTTTAGGGTTTAGGGTTTAGGGTTTAGGGTTTAGGGATAGGGGCGTCCTGCAAAGAGAGACTGGGGCAGTTCCACGTTGCTTTGCCAGAGGCCTCGGGAATCTTGCACCTCAGCAGGCAAAAAATGTGGGGTTTAGGGTTTAGGGTTTAGGGTTTAGGGTTTAGGGTTTAGGGTTTAGGGTTTAGGGTTTAGGGTTTAGGGTTGGGTCTCGGGTTTGGGTCCATGGTATCGAATGCAGAGGCCCGTTCTCTTTTTGGGTTCTCATTATACGGGTGCAATACTACATCTGGGACCCAAAAAGCAACCCAAATGTAGAGAACCACCCACATGTATCAACCATCGTGTACAAGTCGGTTTTGGGGTTTAGGCGGAACCTAAACCCTAAACCCTAAACCCTAAACCCTAAACCCTAAACCCATAATGCCATAAGCCTTGCCACTTTAAGAACCTTAATGGTAAGCTCAACCTGAGTTGTAGGCTTCCCGGCCGAGTGATACTGGATGTCGTTCTTGCGCACAGGCCTCGCAAGCCTTACATGCTGCAAGCGCTCTGGGGGCTTCAGGTTTAGGGTTTAGGGTTTAGGGTTGCGGGGTTCAGCTTCTTTTCGGCAGTGAACAGGCTCTGCCAAACCTTCATTCTTGCAGCAACCCTAAACCCAAGAAACGAGGAAAACCCCAAACCTTAAACCCCAAACCCCAAACGATGCTACACTTGGGGATTCAAGGGTTCCGAGTCGAGGGTTGGCGCAGTGAGAGGGTTTAGGGTTTAGGGTTTGGGGTTTGGGGTTTGGGGTTCGGGGTTTGGGGTTTAGGGCTAGGGTTCAGGGCTTTGGGGTTGAAAGCTTCGCTCAAGGTGCCCGCACCGGTGAATGCCGGCTGGGGTTTTGGCCGTGTCGGGTGGGCTAACGCATCGACTAAGGCTTTTAGGGCTGAAGGCCTCAAGACCATAGACGAAATCCAACTGTGAAAATGGAGAGCCCAAGGTATTCGTCTGAACAAGACGGTGTGCGTTCAAAAACAAAAAGCTGTCAGCACGTTTCGGTCAAAGCTTCTTGGGACCCCAAACTCGAAAGATGTCCATATTGTCTGCGATACCCTAAACCCTAAACCCTAAACTGTAAACCCTAAACCCTAAACCCTAAACCACGCATTTCGGAGACCCCCCACATGGCCTCGTCTGCACCAAGCCTTGCAATTCGCCTTTTGGATTGACCAGCTTGGGCAAAGTGACCTGGGCCTCGCAGCGAGAGCTTAGGGTTTGTAGGGTTTAGGGTTTAGGGTTTAGGGTTTAATTAGGGTTTATATAGGGTTTAGGGTTTAGGGCTTAGGGTTTAGCGTTCAGGGTTCAGGGTTTAGATCAACCCAGATCTCATACGCCTTTGGAGGATTTAGGGTGTTAGGGCTTAGAGAGACTTGAAGAACAGGCATATACGTGGCGTTGGTAGAGCAGCCATGCAGTGGGATGTGTGCGACAAGACCCCACCTGCAAAACCCTGAAGGGTCGAAGGCGGAGGGTGGGCACGGGAAGCCCCATGTCATGGAATCAAATGGTAGTTGACTCACCAACGATTTGGGAGTTCCAGGCGATACGCTACTGACTTGCAGGGCTGTCATCTTGTCTCTGCTTAAACACTTCTGGTAAACCTGAGCCCTAGAGTGCTTATAAATGTTTATAAACCGTAACCCACACAAATGCTTCGACCCTAGACCCTAGACCCCAGCCCGTTAAACCCCATGGGAAAGAACTGTTCCCGGCCTCGTCCAGTGGGGTCTTTAGCGGCTCGTCTGGGATGGGGTGTTTGGGCAGAGGCACGTGGGTGGCACTGGGTACTTCCGCGGCTGAGCGCGTGGGTGCAGCGTTTCCTTACTGGTTGAAATCGCCTCTCTGGTTTTTTGTTTTTGTTTAAAGGGAGCTTGTGCTACCATGATGGTTGGATGCTTTTCAACAATCTTGCACACCCCAAAAGGCTAACGGCTACCTGTTCAGCTCCCAAGTCTCCCAGGGGAGGTCCAGCAAGGGGTTCGACCGTCAGCCCAGTGCGAGCAGTGCTTGAAACAGGCTCAGCCTCCACCTTGCTTGGGGCCTCCTGCAACGAGGCAGACATGGCTCTTTGGTCTTTGGTCTTCAGAGGGCTTGGCGGGGGGGGGGGGGGGGGGTGGGGCGCTTTCTATTTTGGGAAAAGGCATGGTTCTCTGTCCGAGGTGGTTCTGAGGTTTAGGGGTTTTGGAGGATTCGGCCCCAGTCCTCCGCCGCAGTGCGGGGCGCTTTGACCACGCTCTCCAGTGACAGCCGAAACTTGTCCCTTTCCTTGCTTGTGGACCAAATGAAGCCCGCGATTGCGATTTATCTGCGGCCGAAAGGACTATTGTCCCTCCGAACTATCTACTTCCTACTGGAAACCCCTATGCAATGGTCCTAACTAGTCTACTTCCTACTGGGATGCAGGGTCCTAAACCCT